TTGCAAGTATGGAGAACGGCGATAGATGGACGGATGCTGAAGTGCAGGCACTTGTAGCAAATGTAGCACTGTCAGTTGTCGTTGGAGATCCTTAGTCCTCCTTTCCGTTCTTTCAATCGCTTTACGTATACATCGACTTTCCATGTCCATTATTGTGAAACCCGCGAGACACCACAAACACACAGCTCCGATCACAGCGTCCTCCATCCTCCTGTTGTTAATGTTGTTCTTTGTTTCTGTTGTTGAATGCCGTGCACAAATGACGTCGCTGTCGACCGGCTTATGTCACTTCTTAGTACATACTCTCGGTGCGAATGCAACCCTTTAAATGGTACTGGGAAATAGTTTGCGCAAAATCGTCCCAGTACTTTAGTACCGTACGTTTAGTTCTGGAACTAAAGTGGTGCGAAAGGGCCTAATAAAAGCCCATTCTCCTGTATCAGTGAGTTCTCACCTCATCCCTTCATCCCCAACCCAATTTATGATAATTTAATTTACATTGTTAAAAAATTTAGTGTTTTCACAGATGTGTATCTCTGTGTGAGCGACACTACATATGTTTAAATATTTGAAAGAAAAAAAACTGTCCACAAGAATTTGTCATGTAAAAAGATAACATAAAATGCCATAGCATAATAATATTTTGGTAACGCTTTACAATAAGGTTTCATTTGTTAGCATCAGTTAACTACATTAGTTAACATGAACGAACAAGGAAAAACTTCTAAAGCATTTATTCATCTTTAAAAATTAATTGTAATTTCAACATTTACTAATACAACTTTTGATTTTAATAATGTATCAGTTAACATTATTTAATGGACCTGAACTATCATAAACAGTTGTATTTTTATTAACTAATGTCAACAAAGATTAATAAATACTGTAACAGATGTAATGTTTACTGTTAATGTTATTAATGCAGTAACCAACATTAACAAATGGAACCTTTTTGTAAAGTGTTACCCATATTTTTATATAATCATGTTATACCTGAGATCAGTCTGTGTATCTCCACCCTTGAAATGCACTGGATGATTCATAGACCTGTCACTCCTCATAGACACACAGCTGGAGACTGGTTCTGAACTCTTCTGATGAACTGAACTATAAAAGAACAGAGTTCAAGTGAGCTTTGTTTTCATTCTGCTATATGCGGAGGCATAAGGGAACAATGTCGTGCCTCGACCACGGTGCTACAATATCCTACAGACGGACTAAAACGTATTTTATCCGTCATGAAGATAATCATTATATTATGATCTCTTATAAATGTATTGTTCAGCAAAAATCTAATTGTGAGGTGGAACATTTTCATTTTAAACCTAACAAAAAGCATCTTACCATCATTTAAAGGTGTTTTAATATAGTGTTTTAAAGTGTTATAGTGTTGATTTAAAGTACCTGCATCCGGGAGAAACATTATCATCTCTGTATGTCTGTGTGTCATCCATGATGAATCTGAACAGTTGAAACAGAATCTGATCTTCACCACTGACTCTAGATGGAAATGGCAAACAAACAATAATTCAGCTGAACGGATCCTGGCAGGTTCATGAGACGCGGCGTTCACTCACATACACAATGCTATCTTTACTGCGGTATGCTAGTTGTATGTTCACAAAAATAAATACATAAATTAATTTTTTTTTTAAACGACACCAGAGAAACCACATTAAATTGATTTACAATAAACAATCTCAAACTCATATCATACCTAACCCAGCGAAGTAATGCGGCCTTAAAGAAAATTTTGAAGCGGAAGACAAGACCTGAGCACTCACCTTAAACAGCATTAATTTCTTACAGACTCTTTAAAAATGATCCACCATTTCTCACAACTAACTACACGTGCAATCATTACAAAGGTACATGTTAAACACTTTGATACTCGGTGTTGTAAAAAAAATCGATTATTGCAGTTAAAATGGCGAAACATAAACATGCACTTTTACTTTCGCTTTTTATTGTGAGGCGAGCAATGATGACGTCACGCTTACGAACTAGATCGTGTACGTCTTGCCCTGACTGATTACAAGCACACAAAGCAAACTTAAACTGCTGACCGCTTTGGGCTGTTTGGTTTCCAAAATGTTGTAAATTCCAATGGTTCGCCGTTAGAGGGCGTTAAAGCTTGTTGCGCTTACAGTCCACCCAACATTTTAAATACTTCCAACACAATAATGAGCTTTAATGCATTTATTAAAGTTTTTCTCAGTTGCTTTGGCACATTTTTCGAAACAGTCTTAACATTCTCTAAACTGTGAGTACAAATGTCACAACTGTTTGCTGGAACTTCAGAACTTTATTGCATGTCTGCAAAATGTAGTTACTCACCCAAAACATTTCATTCATGCTTCAAAACCTAGTTATCGTGTCAGTAATTTGGCCAAGGCCACCAAAATATAAAGTATTTTTGTCATCGTGTGAGCCACACTGGTCAAATGTTTAGTTGTTTTTTCACCATGACAGTCAACCATGGAAACTAAGGTTTTATTTTAAAAATCTGATATTTGTTGAGAAGAGTTATACAGTACATTTATTTTTGTACGAATGTATTACATGTAAAGTGAAATCTTGCTTGTCCAATTACTGTACATTTCATATTTCTTATGTTACCACAAATACACAAAAATACCAAATAACTACAAAATAACATCCATGAAAAAACATCCTGTCGCTCTTGTTGGTCAGGCCAAAGATTTTCATCAACATCACATCTGATGTTTTCCATTGCCATGCACCGGGGGGAAAATCTCCTTGAATGCCGCACCAATCCCCTGCAATGATCAGCTGTGATGTCCTCACATGCAGTATTCATGGCATCCAACAGAGACATCTAATCTTGTGGTCATATATTTTCCACCTCCATGCTGAAAAAAACTCTTCTATTGGATTTAAGAATGGGGAGTATGGTGGAAGGAACTCCACTGTTATCCTTTCATGTGCAGCAAACCAGTCCCTAACAATGTTGGTTCGGTGGAAGCTGACATTATCCCAGACATCAACATAATTAGGCAAATGTGATCTAACTAAACCTCTTTCTTGTTCTGGAATCAGGTCTCTGTAAAGTGCGTTTAGGAAGGCCAGAAGAAGTTGGGTATTATAGGGCCCAATGTGTGGAATATGTGTGCTCACACCATTCTCTGAAATGGCAGCACACATTGTAATATTGGCCCCACGTTGGCCTGGTGTGTCAGTTGTGGCTCGGTGTCCAATGAGATTGCGACCACGTCTCCGGCCTTTGGACAGATTGAACCCGGCCTCGTCCACAAAAACAAGAATGTGGGTTGTTTCATGTCCTTCTAACTCCATGATTCTCTACGAAGAAACAAAATACAGTTAATTTTTAATTCTAGTTCAGTAAATGTTTTCTCTTCTTATGGGTTTCTAAAACTTCAAGTAATACAGGCATCTTAGAAGTACAGTAAAACTCACTAAGTGCACACCAATAGTTTATCTGGACATGCTGGTACCGCAGCTCCTTCACTCTTTCACTATTCCTCTCAAATGGCACCTTGTAGAGTTGTTTCATAGTCATTTGTCTTTTCAAAACTCTGTCTATGGTGGAAATGCTGACAGAATTTATATTTGCGAAGACATTATTGTCATTTATGATTGCACTTTAGATCTCTCTTAGCCTGATGGAATTGTTGGCTATGACCATGTTGCCAATTTCTTGTTCTTGCTGATGGTTAAATACTGCTACTCTGCCACAAGCGCGAGGTTGTTGTGCGGTTCTGTAGAATGTACAAATAGACTTGCATTTACCTTTACAATATTGTCGTTTATAAAAATGTTTTACATACTGTAAAACAAAAAAATAAATACCTATTTACCTGTTTTCCCTACGAAAGGTTTGCACAATTGATGACACTGTGGACCTGTTTACATTAGGCTGTACTCTTCGACCAGCCTCTTCCATTGTAAAACCACGATTTATGACATGATCCACAAGTGTGGCTCTGATTTCATCAGAGACTCTGACTTTTCTATTTCCACCTCTTCCTCTATTATGTCTTCCTCTAACACCACCACCACGCATTCTTACACGTCTTCCAATTGCTCTTCCACGAGCATGTTGCTGCAGTTCAGGGTTGTGGAAGT